GTGGCCCTTCTTGTAGACCTTGTAGGTGTCATGGGCGATGAACTTGGAGATGAGTGGCACTGCACAAAAACACAAACAACAAAAGAAAAACAAAACTTAAAACAGCTATTTTCAAACAAAAGTAAACAACAACAACAGCAGCAGTCACCTACGTCCAGTGATGCTCCACTTGAGCTCGTAGTAGAAGTCAGGCACGGCGGCGAAGCTGGCGAAGGTGTAGCCGATGCCTTTGAGGACGGCCAACAGGCGGTCTGTCTCCTGGAACTTGAAGACCGACTTGATCAGCTCCTCGTCCTTGGTGATCACCACCTCGTCCCAGGCGGTGAAGCCCTCATTGTCCTGGATGTCGACGCGCGGGTTGTACGCCAGCAGCGCCTTTGCCGCCTCCAGGTTGTTCAGGCCCAGTGCCAGGTGGAAGGCAGTTCGACCGTAGTTGTCCACGCGGTTGATGCTGGGCTGAAGAGGAAGAAGAAAGAAGGAAGAGGTGTTACAAAGAATGCTTGAACAGCAGCATCAACTTACCTTTGGATTTGCACTCATCGCCTTGTGAATCATCTGGACGCCCATCTCCGGTGGCGACGTGAGGACGGCCATGTGCAGCGGCAGGTCCTTGATGAGGTCCTCGAAGGTCAGCTGAGGTTGTTCTCCCTGTGGGGCGGTCATCGTTTTCTCTAAGGTAAGTCTACTAAAAAAAATTAGTGCTAACAGCTGAAAACTGAGAATGGCCGAGAAAGCGTGAATCATTTCAAAGTTTTAGTTGCAGCTACTGCAGTTCGAAATCAGTTTTTCTGGTAAAGCTCTTTAACTCAAATCTGTTGCAACACGTCAGCAGCTTTTCTGCAGCCAAAAACCCGTTAAAAAGAGTCATCCAGTCCAAATTTTTCCTTTTCTGCTTTAAGTCTATTAAAACTCTCCTGATTACTTCTTCTACATCAGTACTCATTGAACACAAGACTCATCAGCATGTCAGCTCACTCTAAAGTCGAAAAAGAAGACGTCCTCGACTGCAAGCAGCAGCAGAAGAAGAAAAAGAAGGTCTGCGCCAACTGCAGTGCCACCTTCTACGCCAACGACAACGACGGTGATGATCAGCAGGAGTGGGAGGAGGAGGAAGAGGAAGAAGTAGTAGTCAGCGACAGCACCAGCACTGCAGCCTCCAGCCTTCTGTCTCGCTCACCGGAAGAGGACATCACCTCCAACACTGAAGAGGACGATGATGAGGAGGAGGAAGAGGAAGAGAACGAGTCCTCCAGCCTGCTGGTGAAGCCCAACCGCTACCCGACGGCGTACATGCTCTTCACAAAGGCCTTTTTCGAGCAGTACCGCGCCGACCACCCCGAGGAGGTCATCGACAAGGCGGCCTTCGGCCAGCTGGCCTCCATCCGCGCCGCCCAGTGGGCGGCGATGACCGAGGCGGAGAAGGCGCCCTACACGGCCGCTTCCGCCGTGGCCAAGGCCCGCTACGAGGAGCACATGGTCGCCTACAAGGCGCAGCAGCTGGCGCTGGCCGCCCCCAAGAAGCCGCTCACCTCGTACATGACCTTTGCCGTTGCCGAGCGACCCAAGGTCCTCCAGGAGATGCAGAAGACGACTGGGACTGGTGGTGGGCGCCGTGCCGGCTCCAAGGTGGGCGTCGTCGAGGTGGCCACTGAGCTGGGTCGTCGCTGGGCCGCCTTGCCGACGGCGGTGAAGAAGGCCTACGAGATGACGGCTGCTCGTGCTCGAAAAGAGTACGCGGCGGCGCTGGCTGAACAGGAGGCGGCTGAAGAGGAAGAGGAGGACGAAGAAGGTGAGGAGGGTGATGAAGATGGAGGTGGTGGTGGCGGTGGCCAGGAAGAGGATACTGAGAATGAAGGCGAAACCGACGACGATTCGACTGCCGCCACCGCTGCTGCTGATGATGATGACGAATCAGCGAGCGAGTTTGTGGAGAGCACCGTCGAGGAGAGCTGCAATGAGAATGATGAAAACGAGGACTACGAGGAAGAGGACGCCGGGCAGGAGAAGGAGGAGGACGTCCTCGCCTACTGCAGCCGCTTCTTCCGCCGCCGTCGTCGCCGTGGCTCATTCTCGCCCTCCTACTCGTACTCCTCGGGCGAGTCCTTCGACTCCTTCGACGGCGATGAGTTCGAAGAGGAAGAAGAGGAAGGCGGAAAAATGAAGACTGGGCAGTGAAGTGTCCAAACACTCTCTTTCTTTTCCCCCAAAAGACCACCAATTATTCACATTTACCTTTTAACTACGGTGGCACACTCTTTTCCTTCCCACACA